GGCCGGGGCTCGCGCTGGTCGGCCTCCCTGCGGCGCGCCGCGCCGTCCCTCCAGGGTGGAGAGCCGTCTCCTGCGCTCCGCCCCACGCCCTGCAGCTGCGCGGTCTTCGGCGTGGCTCTGAGCCCCCCGCTCCTTTCCTGATAGATAGGCGCAGAGTCCTAACTAAGGAGCAAAAGCTAGCAGTGGAAAAACCCACTTCTTGCCCAAAGCGCATATTCAGTCTGAGTTTAAAGAGGAAGCATAAATCGTTAGGAGCTCCCTGTTCCGTGGGATAAATATGCCGCCGATCCCTCCGAAGAGCTGCTGTTCCCGTGCTCCAGTTGCGAGGTCTCTAGAGATGGGGCTAAGGGATGCGGAGATAGCAAGAGATTCCTCTCGCTCCTCGCCAGCCGAAATTGCTCCGGCTGTGAGCTCTCCGCTGCAGTTCCAGGGGTGGGCGCGGCCGGTCGGGACTGTGCCGTGCTGGCTGGAGCCGCTGGGAGTGCAGCGCGGCTGCGTGCTGTGCGTCTCCTGAGCTGCACCCTCCCACCGCCCCATCTTCCCGAGCCCGGCTTCCCAGGGCCGTACTGCGGCTCTCCTTTCACCATGGCCGCCCCCAGCCTCCGGCCGCCCGCCCTGCTCCCACAGCCAGGACGCGGCCCTGGCATCCCCGGTCCGGATCAACCATAAAATCAGCAAGTGTGGCCCCGTACGCTGGGGCGCCCGCGCCCCCATTTCCGGAAGGACGAGGCTGTCAGTTATCCCTGGACTCCCTCTGTGGAATGAGGTTCCCCCCGGGAAGGAGGAAGTGGCATAACGTGTGGGATGGGGCTTTCCTCTGCTGGGCAGGCCTGAAGCTGTTCCCCTTATGTACTTGCTGGTCTTAGGGGAGGGGGATCGACTGGACCCAAGATGGAGCGCGCTTCCCCTCCCCCTTCCCAGTGCTGCAGTGCGCTGCGGTGGTCAGACCCCTCAGAAAGGGCCAGGGCCAGATTGCCGAAGAGTCAGGCCGCGGTCCCGTCTCCTCCTTACTACTTTTTCTTTTTCATGACTGACGCCCCCCCAGCTTGGATTCCCTCCAGTTTCCATGGCGATTGCGGTGCAGGGAGAGGGGCTGCTTGCTATTCCGAGCACGGATTGTCTGGGTTCCAGATCCGCTACTGTTCCTTCCCCAAGGTGGAGGGGGTGGGCAGGCTCAGGTCGTGGCTTTCGCGCCCCTCAGACCCCGGAGTCCACGCTGCCTACTTCCCTTCCCGTGAAGGACCCGACTCCAGCTGTCAGCCCCCAGCTGGCGGTCCTGTTGTCCTCGCTACTGGCTCCCTGAGATCTTAGGGGCCGGGGTTACCGCGTTCCTTTCCCGTGTCACTGTAAGCTGACTGGGCAGGGGTGGGACACAGTCCCTGAGGCAGTGCCTAGGAGGCCTGCCAGCCTCCTAGAGTTCTGACCCCAGGGAGAAGCAGGCAGCCAGTTACGTAACAGGCAGGCCCGTCCCTTCCCCTGAGAGACCCCAGAGCACAGGGAAGCAGCGGCGGGGAGCAGGCCGGCTGCGAGAAACCCTGAGCAAGCCTGGCTCTCCCCAGGGGTTGGGAGCAGTTTCAGGGACTCGGAAAGTGAACAGGCTTTCAATTAAGCCCTCGCAGGCGCCCCGGGTCAAATGTGCTCCACTTGTTTATTTTGCCGTCTTGCTTTTTCGGGACTAAGGGGAGTGGTACTACGCACCGCACCGCGGCCTGGAGGTAGTCCCAGGCTTCCAGGCCGAATGAAGTGCATTCCCCTGGGAGACAGGTGGCTCCTAAGGGGTCAAAAAGCGGTACTCCCAGGGTTCCTGAGGCTTAGGGCCCTAGGACTGGGAAAAGGCCGTGGCTCACCCCCGGCTCTTTCTCCCCGCCGCTAGGGTCTCCCTACTATGACAATGTCCGTCCGCTCTGCTACAGCGACTCAGACGCAGTATTGTTATGCTTTGACATCAGCCGTCCGGAGACAGTGGACAGTGCTCTCAAAAAGGTAAAACTAGCTCCACCTTACCATGTCTAACCCAGCAGGAGGGCAAGAAAGAATCTTGAGGACCTTGTCATTTAATTCTCTCGTGTACCAGGTGTGATTGACAGGCATGGCAGTGCATGTTTGTAGTCCTAGCCCTCTGGGAAGCTGAGGCAGGAGGATTGCTAGAAACTTTGAGTCTAGCCTTGGCAGTTTAGCAACTTTAGTGAGACCCTGTCTTAGTGGAGTTGCTGAGATATAGCTCTATGTGAAAGACTGGGTCCCCAGCGGAAGGAGGGAGGGGAGGGGATTGAGGCCACAGAGAGGAGCATTTCCCAAAGCCACGCGATTAGCTGCTGCTCCGGGACTGGGTCTCCTTACCCCTCTGCTTTCTCCCCTTCCCGCTTCCCACACGGCTGCTGCTTTTATTTATTTATTTTTTGGGTACTGGGAATTAAACTCAGGACCTCGCGCTTGCCAGGCAGGTGCTTGCGCTGATGAGCTGTCTCCTCGGCCTGCTACACTGCTGCTTTGGAGCCCCAGCAAAGAAGGGTGGCACCAAAGACTTGGGAATCAAAGGGTCAGGAAGCGGACAGCCTTCTCCTGGTGTGGCTCAGGGGCCAGGGTGGGCCACTTCTGTAGACACCCTTCCCAGCGAGTCAAGGGTCGAGCTGGCCTTCCTGTAGGAGATGTCTGGGCTTGGGCTGAAAGGTCTGCGTACTGAAGGCTCCCAGAAGCCTTGTGGAACTAGCCGGTTTCCCAGAAGACTCCCAGTTACGTTCTTCCCTCAGGGAGCGTTTGGTAGGCTTCTTCCTGGCATTCCGGACTTGGGAGGCCCTTCGACTGGGCTGAGGGGACAGAGTCGCAGATCACACGGGCGGGAGGATGATGTCTTTAGTACAGGCGAGATGCTGTGACTCAGAGGGAGAGCTGGGTTGGTGACGACCTGGGTGGGATGCCCGACATTGCCAGTGGGGCTTCTGCTGTCGGCCTGCCACTGACCGCTTCCTTCCCCGTTAACCTCCCTTCTTCCTCCTTGGCCCCTCAGTGGCGGACAGAAATCCTAGATTATTGCCCCAGCACCCGGGTTTTGCTCATTGGCTGCAAGACAGACCTTCGAACAGACCTGAGCACGCTGATGGAGCTGTCCCACCAGAAGCAGGCGCCTATCTCCTACGAGCAGGTGTGTGTGTGTGTGCGTGAGTGAGTGCGACGGCCCAGGGAAGGTTACAGGCAGAGGCCTTGAAATATGGGTCTCATTCAGGCTCTCCTGCCACTGCAAGTGAGAACTGATGTGAGGTGTTTATCTCTAACTAATGAGCCAGTCACCTCCATAGGGGTTGTGGGTGCCCAGGTTGGTAGGTGCGTTGTCCTGTGTGTGCTAGCATTTTTAAGATTGTTTTCTGTTGACCACTCACACTGCAATCATTAGAAATGCTTGCCAGAATTCATTCTTTTTTTTTGGTCTTTTTGAGACAGGGTCTCGCTATGCAGTTGAGGCTGGCCTTGAGCTCGCTTTGTAGCCCAGGCTGGTCTCGAACTTACACGATCCTCCTGCCTTGGCCTGAGTACTGGGATTACAGGCATGCACCACCATGCCTGGCTTCAGAATTTCAGATTTCTGGCTCCATACCTATAAAGATCACTCTGAGAAAAAGCCATGGAAGTTTGCATTTTTACTAAGATCATTGAATAACTCCTAATGCACACAGGAGTGTGACAGTCAGTTCTTTCAAGCCATTGTTTCTTTTTTTTTTTTGGTTTTTCTCCGGTACCAGGAACCGAACTCATGACCTTGCACTTGCCAGGCAGGCGCTTTTGCCGCTGAGCTAAATCCCCAGCCCCTGAAGCCGTTGTTTCTGACTGCAGTCCTCTGGGGGAGCTCTTAGACATAGCAGTGCTAGGACTGGGGCATGGCTGGTGGGAGAACCCCAGGTTCATCGGATCGAATTCCAGCACCAAATGCCTGCTGTCGCCACCCTGCTCCCCGGAATTGGATTTCCTTGGTCTGGTATCAGTGTAGTGTAACAGTGTTCCAGGTGATTCAAATGTGTAGCCAGGGTTCACCTTCAGAAAAAATAACTGGAGGAGGCTGGTGGTAGGGGCTGCAGTGTCTCTCGGCCCCCGGGACCGCTGCATTAACAGCCGCCCCCTCCCCCTGCAGGGCTGTGCCATAGCCAAGCAGCTGGGCGCAGACGTTTACCTGGAAGGCTCGGCTTTCACCTCCGAGAAGAGCGTGCACAGCATCTTCCGGATGGCGTCCATGGTGTGTCTGAACAAGCCCGGCCCGGTGCCTCCCAAGAGCCCTGTCCGGGGCCTCTCCAAGCGGCTGCTCCATCTGCCCAGTCGCTCCGAACTCATCTCTTCGACCTTCAAGAAGGAGAAAGCTAAAAGCTGCTCCATTATGTGAAGTGGGAGCTGGAGCGGGGACAAGCCCCGCTTCCTCCCTTGGGTGCAGAGGCACGGGGAGAGGGAGGGTGAGGCAATGTAAGACACTGGACACGAGTTTTTCCGAAGGCCGTGGTGAGGGCTTGGACGGAGACAGGAATGGGATGAGGAAGGGACCAGGCCCAGCCAGAGGACCTGGCACCGAGTGAGAACCATCACACCCCAAGCCGAGCGCCAGGCGGAGGAGAGGGCAGTGGTCCCAGGCCCCCCATTCCAGAGGAGGGGGCGTTTGGGGGCTCTGGGGGCGTGCTGGCCTCATGGGCTTGGGGGCTTACAGGAGCCTCACCTACAGCATCATGCTCTTCCACACCGCGTTTCCATGCAGGCGGGGGCGGAGGGCCCGGAGCTCGTCCTTCCCTTCCCGGGGCTGCCAGAGCAAGGGAGAGCGAGGAAGCCACGGGCAGCTCCTCGGGGAGCTCGGCCGGTGCTTCACAGCGGGAACCAGAGGGCAGGGCTGGTCAGAGCCGGAGCGGGAAGCTCATTTGCATAGCCCATGCGTCATGGGAGGTGTTATCGCACATTCACACGCTCCTCACCGAGTCCCCAGGGCCCAAGGGAGAAGCCCCAGACTCCCTTCTCCTGCAGACAGTGGGGTTGGTGGTGCTGCAGGGGCAGGCCTGGGAGGGGTGACCGGACTTTCCCTGCCCCTAGGGCAGCACAGCTGGTGGTTGTTTTATAGACTCTTGTCTTTGGAATTGGGGGGCGGGGGGAGTATTTCAATCTGTTCTATGTTCTGTGTTTAAAGAAGAGAACCTATTTATTAATGAAAAATATAATACATATAAAGAAGTTGGCTCCATTTCTTCCTTTGTTTTCTTGGCTATTTTGGGGGGAGTGGGTGTTTGGACAGGGTCTCATTATGTAGCCCAGGCTGCCCTTGAACTCACGGCAGTCCTCCTGCCTCAGCTTCCGAGTGCTGGGATCACAGGTGGGTGGACCATACCTGGGTTCTTGGCTGTTCATAATCAGGGAGAAGCTTTCATGGGGCCCTTTCTGTGGGTTGCAGGGTGGCTGCTTCCACAGCCCCCAGCCCCTCCGACAAGCAGCTCCTCCCTTTTCCTGTCCCACCCAAATCCTATTACGCCAGATACTAGCTCCTTAGCTCTAGAGCAGGACTGCACCCTGGAATGTCTGCAGTGGGGATGCTTCTCGTAGGGGTTGTGCTGTGCAGTGGGGGGTGTTTAGCAGCACCTCCGGCAGGTGCTAGGTGACAGAGGCCTCAGTGGTCACAACTGAAATGTCCCCAGAGAGTTAAATATCCCCGGGGCAAAGTCACTTCTGGCTGAGGACCGTTGCCCCAGAGCAATGAGAGTGCATCTTTTAAAGCTCTCAGTGTTAAGGTACGGCCCTCAGCGGGGTGCCTGCCGTAGGTTGGCCATCACTACTCTGGAGTCTAAAGGACAAGGAGATCGTCTGTAGGGAGTCGGGCTGCGTCCCACCCCAGCAGAGGCACACAAACTAAGCCAAGGCAAGTGGGCTCCTGTTGGTATCCTTTGAACTCACGGAGAGGCGGCTTCCAGTCCCAGAGCCTCCCGACGGTGGCGCAGGGGCCTCCGTGTCCCTCACCCTTCGTGCGTCCCAGCTCTTGTTTTCCGGTTTCATAGTGCAGTGCTGGAAACGAAAAGTTACTGTGTTCTCAGCACTGGCGAGGGCTTTAACCTACGCGATCAGATTTAACGTAAGTGATGAGAGCTTACCTTGTTACGTGTTTGGCGGGGGCCTGGGGCACTTAGTTCTTATAGCAGTATGATGTTGGTATTATCTTCATTTTACTGATAACCCGAAAGATTGGTTATGCCGTCAAGCTGTACCTGCGTTATCCATTCCTGTAATAACCCTTCGGGCGCTAACCTACCTACTTTGTTCTACAGAAATTCAGATTCAGAGAGGTTAATGTGTACAAGGCCACACAGCTAGCAAGGGGGAGAACATGCGTATAAATCAGGCAGTCCAGCTGCAGAACATGGACTTTTTTTTTAGAGATGGGATCTTGAGCTGTTGCTCCAGCTGGCCTTGAACTCAGGATCCTCCTGCTTCAATCTCCTAAATGAGCCGCTGGGATTATAGGTGCATACCACTGTGTCTGGACAGAACAAGCATTCTTTTTTGTGTGTTTTTTAGTTTTTTGAGACAGGGTCTCACTGTGTAGTCCAGGCTGGCCTTGAACTCACTACGTAGCCTAGGTTGGCCTGGAACTTGTGGGGATCCTCCTGCCACAGCCTCCCTCGTGCAGGCAGTGTGCTACCATGGTCCATCAGAAATGCAGTCTTTAGCTCTGCTGTCCTATCCTGGTAGACAAGGGGAGTCACTGTCCCTATTTTATCACTGAGGAGAGGGAAAAGCCAGAGATGCCGTATAGTGCACGAGATCATACTGACGGTGAGGGCTCACACCAGGTCTCGTTGTTAGAATCCCAGGGACCCCTTCCTGCCGGCCCTTGTGTGCCTGAACAAGAGACTACCCATGGTCCTTACTAAAGCAGAGTCCTGTCCCATCTCCCAAGTGTGCCTGCCTGTAAGGGAACCAGCAGAATGAGATAAAAACGGTGAGTGTTCTTTAAGCTCAAGGTCTCACTTGTGCCTGGAGACTGCCGTTCATGAACCTGGACAAACTTTGTCATCTTTTTGAGTCTCAGCTTACTCTTCTTTAAAGACAGTAGACATGGTGACCTGGAAATGGGAGAAAAACATGGACTCTGAGGTTAGATGAACCTGGGGTCTAATTCTGCCTACCCTCCTTGTGGTACTACAGACTGAACTCGGGGCCTCCACCCAGAGCTACTCCCAGTCCTTTATTAATATATTTTTTTTAAAGTCCTTTTTAAATTTTGAGTCAGGGTCTCCTTAAGTCACTAAACAAGACCGGCTGAGCTTGAATTTGCAATCCTCACGCCTCAGCCTCCCAGAGTGCTGGAAGAAAGGCATGCACCACCATGCCTGGAAACCACTGCCTCGCTGTGCGCTTGTTTTTGAACTATGTGGATTTGACGGCATAATCTTTCTGAGTTACTACTAAAATGGAGATAGTACCAATATCGTACTACTATTATAACTCAGTAAAGTAATTACATAAATTAACTGTCCAGAACAGAGCTGGGCACTTAAAAGATTCTCAACACTCCGCTAGCTGAGGCTCTCACCAGGTTCCCTGCCCTCCGAGTCCTACTTGGAGTTCCAGCCTGTGAAGGGAGCGCCCTCTCATGATCACTGTGTGAATTACACCAAAGAGGTCTCAGGCTTCCTCTTTCTGGAAGTGGGGAAGTCAAAGGCTGGAATCCTAAGAGCACACGTGTGAGTCTGTTGTTACTGTGGCCCACTGTGTGATGCTCAGGCTTTTAGGGTTAGAGCTTATCCTGAGGTCCAGCTTGAGAACTGAAAGCATATTTGGAGACAAAAATCAGATCCGAGGGGCTGGGGATTTAGCTCAGCGGCACAGTTCCTGCCTGGCAAGCGCAAGGTCGTGAGTTCAATTCCCGGTATCGGAAAAAAACAAAAAACAAAAAACAAAATCAGATCTGAAGCCGTGTAGAACTGAAACATCCAAGCTGAAGATGGGGAAATGCGCAGGAAGGAAGCACCAGATACTTTGGTTACCTCAAACACTCTGGCAGTTGCAGAGTGTGTATGAGCCCGTAAGAACAAAGAGAAACAAAGCAAGCATGTGATTCCAGGTGAAAAAACTCAGTGGGGGCCTAAAGCAGGGGGTACTAGAAAGAGGAAGAAAAAAAGTGTCCAGATCCTTGGGACCAAAACATGTGGACAGCAGGTGTAGTGGTGGATTCCTGTAATCCTACCCTACTTTGGAGGCTGAGGCAGGAGGATCACAAGGGCCTGGGGATGTGCTCAGTGGTGGAGTGTCTGTTCAACATGTATATGGCCCTGAGTTCAATCATCAGTACCAATTAATAAATAAAATAACAAAACAAATAAAAAATAAAATAAACCAGAGTTAGTGGTGCACGCCTATAATCCCAGCACTCAGGAGCCCGAGGCAGGAGGATTGCTGAGTTCGAAGCCAGCCTGGACTACAAAGTGAGCCACTGTCTCAAAAAAACAGAAGCCAACCAAAGAAAAGCTTTACTTTATTTTATTTATTTATTTATTTATTTATTTATTTATTTTTCGGAACCAGGAACCAAAATTTCTTTATTTTTTTGAGACAGGGTCTCGCTATGCAGCTCAGGCTGGCCTTGAACTCAGAGCTATCCTCCTCCTCAGCCTCTGAAGTGCTGGAGTTACAGGCGTGTGCCACCATACTGCCTACAGAAACTTTAAACAAAATATTTTAAAAGAAGAAGAAGGAGAGGAAAGAGGAAGCTAGAGTTCTATCTGGAATTTTGAGAAACAGGTGCCAGGGCCTAGGAAATACAGTCCTTCTAGGAGGACTTTGGAGACCACTGTTTCGGTTTTTGTTTGTTTATTTTTTACTTTTTTTTTTTTTTTTTTAAGACAGAGTCTATATAAATTGCTCAGACTGGCTTTGAACTCCTCCTTTGAAGTCCTCCTGCCTCAGCCTTCCCAAGTATTGGGATTACAGACATTTGTCACCATGCCCAGTTGTGTGGGCTCATTTTGAGTTGTCACAATAACTAGGATTGTTACAGTACTCACGCCATTGCCAGGCCAGTGTTGCTAAAAAGTCCCTGTAAGCCTGGGGTACTTCCACACAATGCAGAACGGTGCCGCCCTCATTGTGAAATACTAGGCTGGTCCTATAACTTTCGTTTGTACAGTTGTAAAGTAGGACTAATCTCGCACAGAGTTTTTGTAAAAATGCTTTTCCATTAATGGTAGTTTATTAGTTGTTACTGCAGTTGTTAGTATGATCGTATGTCAGAGTTATCTGCCCCTTCTTCGGTACTGGGGATTGAATGCAATGCCTTTGCACTGAGCTACATCCCTTGCCCTTTTTATTATTTTGACATAGGGTCTTGCCAAACTGCCCAAAGTGGGCAGTTTGTGCCTCCCACAGTACTGGGATTACAGGTTATGCTAGAGTTACCCTACATTCCCATCCTGTTCTAAATTCTTCTACTGTAAGCTAACCATGATAGTTCTTTTGCTTTAGGTTTTGTTTTTCTTCCGGCACCAGGAATCGAACTCAGGACCTTCCGCTTGCCAGGCAGGCACTTTGCCGATGAGCTAAATCCCCAGCCCCCGGTGATAGTTATTAACTGAAGTTTCTAGGTAGACCAGCAGGCTGGAGTCTGGGACGCTGGCCCGCAAAAAACTTTCCTCCCGCGGAGTCCAGCACTTGGCGAACCACATTGCCCAGCAGGCCTCGCAGCCGGTCGGCGCTCGAGCTGTGCATTCTGGGATTAGTAGTTCCCGGTCTCGCTGTCGGCCTGCGCAGCGCCGCCCCAGGGACTCGCCTTCCCAGCCTGCCCCTCTGCCGGGGCGCTCCTCGGCGACCAGGAAACGGGAAAGATGGCGACTGCTCGGCAACGTTGAGGCCGCGTTAGGCGGTTCAGACCCGGGGTGGTGAGTTCCAGGCGGCGGAGGCGGTCCGCGTGCGTTTACGGCGAGGGCGGTAGGAGGGTACGGCCGCGGCCCCTGCCCCTGGGGCGAGGCGGGGAGGAACGCCGGGGGGCAGGGGCGCAGGTGTAGGCAGCCCCGGCGG